CCTCTGCAGAAGGGTAAGACCACCTTCTCCCTGAATGAGGCGTCCTGGGTAAGACGATAAACTACATCCCCGTCTTGGGTAAGACGGTAAACTATATCCGACAGCAAGGCCTCTGATCTGGAGGGGTTGAGGAGCGTGGAACCAATTCTTAATTGCTGGTTCCCAGGTCCACCCTGACCCGAGGTGGTAGCACCTGTTAGGGTCCCAGCTATGGGCAAATAGTTAACCCCAAACTAGGGTTAAAACGCTATGAAAGTGTAAAAATAGGTTTTAATACCGGCAATACATGTTTGTAAAAATTATTAACAGCAACGAAGTTTGAAGAAAAAAATAATTACCAGCAATACATTTAAAAAAATTACCAGAAATACATTTTTGAAGGAAAAATATTACCAGCAATAAAATATTGTCAGCATTAAATAACACATTGTGGTTGATATGTCGTAAAACAAAACAAACCAAACACATATATACTGAGATAGATAGATAGATAAAAAATATTGCCAGCAATAAAAATCTTGTGAGCATTAAATGACCAATTCAGGTTGATATGCCGTAAAACAAAACAAACCAAACACATATATACTGAGATAGATAGATAGATAGATAGATAAAAAATATTGCCAGCAATAAAAATCTTGTCAGCATTAAATAACCCATTGAGGTTGATATGCCGTAAAACAAACCAAACCAAACCGATATATACTGAGATAGATGGATAGACAGACAGATAGATAGATAGATAGATAGATAAAAAATATTGCCAGCAATAAAAATCTTGTCAGCATTAAATAACCCATTGAGGTTGATATACCGTAAAATAAAACAAACCAAACCAATATATACTTAGATAGAATCCTTCTATAGAATTCCGCCGCTTAAATTCTCCTCTTCATCTGTGTCGAAATTATCCAGCATCCATTGATGTGCAGGAAAATAAATTCTTCTGTCTTTAAATACTTTGTTTCTTCTTTAGAAGACATATTTCCATTAACCAGGCACATGATCCCAGAGGTAGACAGCATCTTGAATAAAACCGTTGTCTAAATGTAATGGATAAATACACGTACAGTGGTGATTAATACAGTGGCGAAGAATGAATTCAAAGAAAACGTAAGAATAATTAATACGGCTTGACTAACGTTTACGCTGTCCTGGGTATGACGATAAACTACACCCGGCAGTATGCTTCTGATTGGGAGATTTGAGGGGTTTGAGGATCGTGGAGCCACCTTTCAACTGCTGTTGTTCCCAGGTCCGCCCTAACCCGGGGTGGTAGCATCTGTTAGGGTTCCAGCTATTAGATTATAATGAATCCGCAGACAAGGATCAACAGTACATTTTTATAATAATTTTTTATTGCAACATGACAATCAATGTAACACTGAAAACAATATAAGAATATATTTTTATAGTTAAAATACCAACAATACATTATATGATCTACAAAATATACATCTAAAAAATATATATATTTACCCTGTAAGCATAAAATAAGGTATAAATTATTTAAATTTCAGCATTAAATAAGCCATAGTATGTTGATACCTAAATATCGTTTTTCTGTTGAAATGGATTGATATCACCATCAGTTCTACTGTAATAGTTTTTCTCACACTTCTCACCTGTGTAACTCTCTTTAGGTTTCTTGTTTCTCTATCACCTAGAATCTTCAAAAATTCAAATGCAACGTCAATCGCCATCTTCTTGAGCCCTGTTCTTTTATCATCCTGGGTATGACGATAAACTACATCCGGCATCAAGGTCTCTGATGGGGAGATTGAAGGTTTTGATGATCGTGGAGCCATCTCTTTACTGCTGTTGTTCCTAGGTTCGTCATGACCCGGGGTAGTAGCACCCGTCAGGGCCCCAGCTATGGGCAAACACTGAATCCCCAAACAAAAATGAACAGTACATTTTTATAATAAAATAACCAACAACACTTTTTTATAGCAAAATGTCAATCAATGTAACGCTAAAAAGAATACATTTTTATAGTAAAATTACCAACAATATGAATAATTATGATTTACAAAATGTATGTCTAAAAAATATACCTTTACTCTGAAAGTATATAATTATGTACAAAATATCTGTAGTTGAAAGCATAAAATCATGTACAAAATATTTAGATTTCAGCATTAAATATAGGGTGACCCCAAAAAACGGGAACTTTTTAACAATCCAATAAAACCAAGAGTGATGGAAGAAAAATATTTTATTCATAGTAATTGAAACCTTAAAACATGCCATTTAAGAAACAATGATGGAATTTTCATTTTTTTTAAATTACGTCTTGTAGATGGCGTCCCCCTGTACGAATGCATTCTTGAAATCTGCTGTTGAGATTCCTCATTGACTGCTGCAACATCTCAGCTGGGATACTGTGTGAATTTCATCTTGAATTGTAAATGGTGAAATGTTTAATTGCTCAAGGTCACTGTTTCGCAGTGTTGCCACTTGCTCATGTCTGGCAATACGCACTTCAAAAATTCCCGTTTTTTTTGGGTCACCCTGTATCATATAGCGGTTGATATGCCGCTAAACAAAATCAACCAACTACGTTTACGGGGTCCTCGGTCCTAGAGGGAGACAACGACTTGAATGAAACAGTTTGCTAAATGAAATAAGCCTAATTGCCTGAATAGTGACGCAATCTCATCACGATATTTTGAGAAGTACATCTGAGTATGGAGCACCCAGCGTGGATATACTATACTTAGTCGTAATTTGATATAGCGAGACAAGCGTTCTAACCATTAGACCACGTCGAAGTAATCGCTCTTTCCTCATCACGCGTCCCTAAATCTCAAATCTTTCTGATTAAAAATATAAGAGTCTTGTCTTTCTATTTTCCTTAAAACTTACTTGTTCTTTTTATGCTCCTTCCATGACATTCTCATCATCTTTCTGTAGAGCCAGTTCTCTGTTGCCAAATGTCTCCTTTTCATCTGCGTGGAAATTGCCCAACATTCAATATACGAGAACTGATATTACATAACAGTTCCCTACACTTTTGTTTGTCTCTAACGAATTTTTCCTGTTTCTTAATACTTTGCTTATTTTTAGGAAGTCATTTTTTGCAATTCTAATTTCCAGATAGTTAAATTTGCCTACTTGTTTGCTTTTCGTGTCTCCAATTGGTAATTTGCATTTTGAGCTGTTCCTTTTGCTAACAACCATAAATTATGTTATTATTATAGTTGAGGATAGTCCTTTCTTCTTGTTTCCTTTATTACCTCATTATACATTGATACTGAATGTTCGCTGACTGCCCAAAAATGACACACAATCTGTTGCTAACTGGGAAAAGAAATGTCTCGAAAAGTTCTACGCTTCCAAAACAAAACCAATCTCTTTTAAACGCATTAGAGAAACGTTTTTTTGCTTTCCATAATCATGGCTGATACTAACCTCCAAGAGAGTTTTCTGCTGATATTAAATGGAAAAATTCTGTTGAGAATAATTCCTAGGTCTGCTGCTAAGTTGGTTCCGTGTGTCGTTTATGCATTGAATATTGCTGCCACATCTGGTCTGATCTTTAATGATTCTTGATAAAATACAAAGAAGAATCTGCAATGTTATCGGTACTCATCTGGCATCTCGACTTCAGTTACTTTCTGTAACGTAGATTCCCTGTGAGTTTTTTTTATAAATATTTTCATGGTAATTGTTTTGATCAGCTTTTCTCTTTGGTAGTTAGACTTTAGGAATTTAAGCGCAGTACTAGATTGGCGGCTAGGTCTCATTATGTTACAGTTCAAAGGGTTAGATTTAGTTCTATGCTAACAGTTTCTTCTCTAGCATTTCTCGTCTGTTCAAGTCTCTTTCGACTTTTGGCTCTCCAGTCAACTTTGATCTTTAAAAATTTAAATGAATTATCGTTATCTTTTGTCTTTTTAAATTATGTGATTTTATTTTTCTCGCTTGTTAATAACAATTTTTTTTGTCATATTATTTCACATTCAACAATGCATTTTATTTGCTTTATTACATTGCTTGGGGTGAAATGATTAAAAACAAATTGAATGCGCAATTGTTTCCTGTATTGAAACCGTTAATTTCCCAATTGCCATTATCAATTTAGAGTTGGTATATTTAAAACAAATCGCCAATTAATGTGTCCAGCAAAGACTACCATCGGCATGCTTTTATCAAAGAAAAATCATTTGACAATAGTGGTCATTTCAGATTAAACGAATACGTTTTGCTTTGAGGATACCAGGTCAAAGGGAAGCCATTTCGGTTTTCAGTTTCATTTGAGCAACAATGAAAGAGGACTTTTGTATTTGGTCGGACGGGCATAAATCGATTATTCGCAGATGCCGTTTACCATCAATGCAAAGCTGAAGTTACACATGTCAAATGCAATGAGACGATAGCCAAAGAAACGATATCCAGTTCCGATAGACGGTTTGAATTTCCAATGAGACTCCATGATACTGACTGTATCTTAATAGAAGTCCAATGTTCAATGCCAACTTCTAGTTGAACTCATATATACAACCAGTTCTTAAAGATGCCGGAGAAATGGCTGGCACTTTCTATCACACCAGGAAGTACCTGATTCGTGCTGTTGTGTTTTATGCCTACAAGAGTCAGATTAGGCGAAAAATGAATAATGCCATATACAATAATTGATGTTTTACAGTTTATCGATACTTTGAAGGTATAAACTATCTCTTAAAATAACACTCTATCTCGAGTGCCACACCAGGGCCTTGTGCAGGGTGAACAGTACTGTAAAAAAGAAGTAAAAGGTTTATTTAAAACCAAAAAAAATATTTTAAAAAAGCAAAAATCTTTCGAAGATTATAATGATTTTACTGATACAAGTCCTACTAATTAATCCATAGTTGGGGTTGGAGAAGAGGCGGATTCATACCTTAACTATGGTATTTGCGCGTAAGTGATTAAAACGGATACGACAGCAATTGGAACACGGGTCCCCACTCTCAAAGCCCGAGCCGTTATCCATTACACCATCTGCACAATCATAGAGCGCCTGGTATACTCAAGTGTTTACCCATATAGGTACAAACCAAGCTCCAGTTTGCTTAACTTCGCTGATCGTACGAGAACCGGTGTTTCAACGTGAATCAATAGAACCACATCTCTGTCGCTTCAAGTCTCTTCTTCATCTGTGAGGAGATTGTCCAGCATTCATTGCCATATAGGAGATTAGATATTACATAGCCGTCCAACACTCTCTTCTTTGCTTCTAAGGACACTCGTCAGTAGAAGCACATCTCTGTCGCTTCAAGTCTCTTCTTCATCTGTGAGGAGATTGTCCAGCATTCACTGCCATATAGGAGATTAGATATTACATAGCCGTCCAACACTCTTTTCTTTTGTTTCTAAGGACACTTGTTAGTAGAACCACATCTCTGTCGCTTCAAGTCTCTTCTTCATCTGTGAAGAGATTGTCCAGCATTCACTGCCATATAGGAGATTAGATATTACATAGCCGTCCAACACTATTTTCTTTGTTTCTAAGGACACCCGTCAGTAGAACCACATCTCTGTCGCTTCAAGTCTCTTCTTCATATGTCTGTAGATTGTCAAGCATTCACTGCCATATAGGAGATTAGATATTACATAGCCGTCCAAAACTCCTTTCTTTGTTTCTAAGGACACTCGTCAGTAGAACCACATCTCTGTCGCTTCAAGTCTCTTCTTCATCTGTGAGGAGATTGTTCAGCATTCATTGCTATATGGGAGATTAGATATTACATTGCCGTCCAACACTCTTTTCTTGGTTTCTAAGGACACTCATCAGTAGAACCATATCTCTGTCGCTTCAAGTCTCTTCTTCATCTGTGAGGAGATTGTCCAGCATTCACTGCCATATAGGAGATTAGATATTACATAGCCGTCCAACACTATTTTCTTTGTTTCTAAGGACACCCGTCAGTAGAACCACATCTCTGTCGCTTCAAGTCTCTTCTTCATCTGTGAGGAGATTGTCCAGCATTCACTGCCATATAGGAGATTAGATATTACATAGCCGTCCAACACTCTTTTCTTTGTTTCTAAGGACACTCGTCAGTAGAACCACATCTCTGTCGCTTCAAGTCTCTTCTTCATCTGTGAGGAAATTGTCCAGCATTCACAGCCATAGAAGAGATTAGATATTATATAGCCGTCCAACACTCTTTTCATTGTTTCTAAGGATACTCGTCAGTAGAACCACATCTCTGTCGCTTCAAGTCTCTTCTTCATCTGTGAGGGAATTGTCCAGCATTCACAGCCATAGAAGAGATTAGATATTATATAGCCGTCCAACACTCTTTTCATTGTTTCTAAGGACACTCGTCAGTAGAACCACATCTCTGTCGCTTCAAGTCTCTTCTTCATCTGTGAGGTGATTATCCAGCATTCACTGCCATATAGGAGATTAGATATTACATAGTCGTCCAACACTCTTTTCTTTGTTTCTAAGGACACCCGTCAGTAGAACCACATCTCTGTCGCTTCAAGTCTCTTCTTCATCTGTGAGGAGATTGTCCAGCATTCACTGTCATATAGGAGATTAGATATTACATAGCCGTCCAACACTCTTTTCTTTGTTTCTAAGGACACTCGTCAGTAGAACCATATCTCTTTCGCTTCAAGTCTCTTCTTCTTCATCTGTGAGGAGATTGTCCAGTTCACTGCCATATAGGAGATTAGATATTACATAGCCGTCCAAGACTCTTTTCTTTGTTTCTAAGGACACTCGTCAGTAGAACCACATCTCTGTCGCTTCAAGTCTCTTCTTCATCTGTGAGGAGATTGTCCTGCATTCACTGCCATATAGATTAGATATTACATAGCCATCCAACACTCTTTTCTTTGTTTTTAAGGACACTCGTCATTAGAACCACATCTCTGTCGTTTCAAGTCTCTTTTTCATCTGAGAGGAGATTGTCCAGCATTCACTGCCATATAGGAGATTAGATATTACATAGTCGTCCAACACTCTTTTCTTTGTTTCTAGGGACACTCGTCAGTAGAACCACATCTCTGTCGCTTCAAGTCTCTTCTTCATCTGTGAGGAAATTGTCCAGCATTCACTGCCATAGAAGAGATTAGATATTATATAGCCGTCCAACGCCCTTTTCTATGTTCCTTAGCTATTCTTCTACATGTTTATACCTTGATTACGAAATTCATATAGATAGGTTCACACTGCCTTCCTGCATTGTTAAATGTAGAGATTTATCTCAACTTTTCCTGTTTACCATTGGGTTTCCGGTTCCTTCTACACTTTTCTCATTCTTTTTCATTTTTAATAGCTTCTTGGATTTTAGTGGCACTATTGCCTTGCTTATCTTGTCTTTGTAAGGAAAAAGCCCCAAATGTTTTATATGAAAAACATCAATTTTTTCTTACAAGAAAACCTTCCCCTTAATTATTGCGGAAAACTGAACTGTTTTAACATTAATTATAAATTCAATCGACAATGAATTAATTATTACGCCATACTACAATGCTGGTGTTTGGCGGCTTTTGATAGATGACAGATATTTTGGGAAGTACTTCATTTTATTATATAAGTAAAAGAACAAATAATTAATTGTAAGACAGAATGCATGGTTATTAGCAAGAAGGTGAAGTTCGAATCAAGCAAGGAAGCAAATTTAACTATCTGGGAAATGTTTATAACAGACGATGAAATATATGACACCGAAATCCAAAGAAGCATTGGAATAGCGAAAGTTAAGCAAAATATTCAGAAACAGGAAAAATGTTGAACTGCTAGGTAATATCAATCCTCCAGTGAATGCTAGGCAGATGAAGAGATGACTCGGGGACCATATAGATCTGGTTCTATAGAAGGATACGGAGAATGCTATGGATTGAACATGTGCTTAACGGGGAAGTTTCAAGGAAAATAGAAACAAAAATGGCACTTAGCTGAAATTTCTAGGATACATAATAAGGAAAGGGGTTTAGAGAATCTGACACTCATAAAATATATTGAAGGCAAGATGAATAGATGGAAATGAGAGTGGGAGGAATAGTTAATGACAAACCTTACTGTGAGTTACAAAGAGTAGGGAGTTGTGGAGAGCCATGATCATTCAGGTACTAAAAGGACACAGCACATAAAAAAGAAGCCCATTTAATGATAGAGAGAACGAAATCTCCCCGACGAGAAATAGGTTACGCGGTAAATCAACGACACAAACGAAATGAAGTAGTTTTAAAAAAATCACTTGCTGATGAACGAAAATTTGTTTTTCTTTAATTTGAGATTTGATGTTATTGAAGGAATTCAAATTGATTAAAAATAAAATGCTATTATTATCTCTATCTATAAAAGGCAGGATGTGTGTGTGTGTGTGTGTGTGTGTGTGTGTGTGTGTGTGTGTGTGTGTGTTACAAATGCACGGCCGCAATTTTCGACGGATTTGCAGCAAAATTTACATGCACATGCTCCAAGTTAGCGAGAAGGCCAAGACCGACTTTGCATTTCCCAACTCCCATCGATAGTGGAAATAATCGACTTTTTCATGCTTCTACGGCAGTTTTCATGTAGTTTGCGGCCATTTTGTACTGGCCAGAGTGAGAGCCTATAGCTGGCTGCCACGAATAGGCATGGGCGAATTGTTGATTTGTAAATCTGGAGGATCGATTCCGGGGAGAAAAATCTTTTATAAAAGTTGGTTATACCAAATAGCGTATTTGACATGTGTTTATAGATGTTAAACTATTTACCAGATTTCCTTCGATGTATTTCTGTGTAATGATTAAACTTTTCTAATTAGGTCAATATTTATAAAATCAATCTTATGGCCAGTTTTGTTCCTGTGTATTATACGCTAGTTTAAAGGATTGAACAATACCATATGTGAGACAGAGTTCAAGGTCAATCTGAGCCAAGCGGCTTCACTGCCATATGAGAGTACTTTAGCACCGTTACCCTAGCCACAGTCCCGATACACTTTTATCAAACCTCATATTATGCTAAGTAGTTTTGATTTAATAGAATCATGAAAGCTTTCTTAATTGCGGGAACCGCGGATAAACGAATGCATGGTTTTTGATTCCGTGGATGGTGAGATTCTCTTGTATTATTATTTCCAAAGTATTAATTTTATTTCTTCAATATCTATATCATGGTTTATCTTTTTTTCAGAGACACTGGTCCATTATGGCAATTCGTGAAAAGAAGGCATCTGATGGTCGCAGCTCGAAGACCACTAATTAAAATGCAAAATTTCTTGAGAAGAATACAATCTTCATTCTCAGAAATCCAAGACTGATTCCTCCAAAGACCACCAAGACAAACTAGCTGCGAGAGAACACCAAATGCTTTGTACAACGATTGGAATCACGTCTAAAACTTCGCAAAACGTTTCAACGCTCAAAAATAAAATTAACGTCTTCAGAGGTGTAGTCTTATTCACCACGCTTGTTTAATTGCAGGTTGGTGATGCTATTTAACCCTTAGTTGGGGTATTGATTAAGGGGTTCATCTGTGGTACAAAAAGGGTTAAGAATCGCTGTTCTAAAACAATTTATGAACATTCTTATTTCTCTTCAACTGTTTGTTTACATTCCAAGAAATTAACCAGAAGATTTCTGTGATCTTTACCTACTTTCCTTGACGGAATTTATTACAGACAATATTTCATTTACGGAAATTATTTTTTAATGAAATAGGTTGTTGACTAAACGTTGAAAAAAACATAAATAAAATAAAATATATTGTAATAAAATATAAAAGAAATATATTAGGCGAATTTTAGATTGTGAAGATCAATGCTTTACAAGGCAATCATGGTTGGATTTCGTTTCAGTCTCCGGGCAACTTGTTTTCTTACAACGTTCTTTTTAATTTCCCTAATGATTTACCTCATTCTTCCTGATAGAGAGGAAAGGCAACCTTTCAAAAATCCGATGACTAGAATGGAAATTACCGTTATGATGGATACTATTGCCACTATGAACAGAGCTCTGGAGGTTGCAAATATCACCTACTTCCTGTATGGTAGCAGTCTTCTGGGCTCCTTCCGGCACCATGGTCAGGTGCCGTGGGATGATAGTTTTTCTGTTATGGTCAACGGTTCTCAGCGTCGTCTTGTGGATCATACTCTACGCAGTTTCGACTTCAGCTTTGACTTGTATGCGCCGGAGAAAAGCGAGCGGAAACCGTGGAGATATTTTCACAAGATTATCGGCCGGACAAGCCTCCCCCAACACCCGTACGGATGGCCGAACGTGGCGATATATTTCTTTGCCGAGAACGCCACACACATTTGGAATGAATTTTCCGAGCCAGGTCAAAAGTCAGTCTACCGCAAGGATAAAGTGTTCCCCCTCCGGCAACGACCTTTCTCATCGTTACGTCTCTACACGCCATGCGACCCTCGTCACATGATCGACGATCACGAACTGGAGGAATGTCGCTCGAGCAGGAGGTGGCATAAATTTGAACGGCCTCTCCCCACAGATACCTGGCTGAGTATTCCATGTGAAAAGCTTTGGTGGAGATATCCGTTTGTTTACCGAGTACGACATTCCCGAGGCTGGCATGAGACCCTAAAACTCGGCGATTATTTGATGCACAATTAGGATGGGCGAATTCTGCTAATATATATATATATATATATATATATATATATATATATATATATATATTATATATATATATACATATATATATATATATATATATATATATATATATATATATATATATATATATATATATATATATATATATATATATATATATATATATATATATATATATATATATATATACAGGCTGACTGAAAAGTATCTCCCCATTTTAAAATACTTATAATTTATTTATTAACTATAATTTTTACAAGAAGTGGATATGAGAGGAAAGCGTTTAGCACGAGGATTTATTTAAAATTCAATATGGCCACCAGGAATCGCGTGAACTGATTTCACTAGCAACTCTTGTGGCATGGAAGACATAAATTCTTGTATTCAACCTTCAAGTTTTCCAAAGTCTAGATTTGGTATAGTACACTTTTTCCTTTAACACTAAAGAAAAAAGTCACGGACTCCTGGCTGGTCACTCATACATAAAATAGGGAGTTACTTTTCAATCACTCTGTATATATATATATATATATATATATATGTGTGTGTGTGTGTGTGTGTGTGTGTGTGTGTGTGTGTGTGTGTGTGTGTGTGTGTGTGTGTGTGTGTGTGTGTGTACGAAATAGAACGAGCAGATAATGACTGTTAAGCGTTTTGGTGAGTTTTTCTAAGTCATTTGATGTCAAGTAATAATAGAATAAAGACTATTAAAAATACTAACGACTAAATGACTAAATATATACAATTATTAAAATACGATTATCTAAGAAATACAATTTTCATTTTGAATACGATTACACTGTTCAAGAAAAAAAATTGAAACGGTGTTGAAATACCAAACATCTTTATTAGGCAATCTGAGGGCCGCTGAATCTGAAAATGACCTTACTTTTTCTTGGTTAGCTACCATTTTTGCTGTACTGAAATGTCCCATTTTTGGAAAAAAAAAAAACATTTTCTTCATTTGTTTTCTGGATATATGATACTGACCGATGGCAATATTTCTCAAAATAAAATCATAGAAACCTCTCAATTCATATTTAAATTCACAAATATTGATCTGCTTATTGAGAAATGCTATTTTTGCAATAACAATCAGACCTTAAGTCATTTAAAATAACACGATTGAATATACCAAGACCAACAAGTATTTTCATCAAATCATTTAATAAAATAACAGTAGAAAGAAAAACTCCGTGAGAATAAGAACTATGGTAAAATTTTCTCTTTCTTGATTGTGATGTTCTATGTTAAGTCTCTTTTGGTACTCCAAGAGTATCATGTACAATGGAATAGGTGCATTCAATTGGAATGACTTTAGTCGGAGTTTCTTTCCAACTGTGAAAACAAAATGCTCTCAATGTGCTTGGTTTCTTTCCGTAGTGAAGGGATAAAAGTGATGGGATAAATTTATGAATATCAAACAAAAGATTTCAGGGTTTCATTTAGGGTTTTACTAAAGTGTATGACTGGTAAAGTTTATCAGTTAATTTGAATTTTGGCGATAAATTGGAAAATTTCAATACATCTATTTTAAAAATTTTCTACCCAAAAACATTTTTTCTTATAAAAATATTTTATTTCAGGTGGCTGACATAAATTGCTCGTCCTACCTGAAAATTAATGGATTTCTACGGCCTTTATTAACTAAATTTTGCGATCAGCCAAGAACGTAAATTTATGTTTTTCCCCAAAACGAGCAATTTCAGTACAGCAGAAACGGTGGCGAACTACAAAAAACTAATGTCATTTTCGAAATCAGCACCATCAAATTAGCTAAAAATCGCATTTTGTTTTTGGCCCCCAAAATCGTGTTGAACAGTGTTATCAAAGTAATCCGATCATTCAAACAAGATTATCGAATTTACATTTACGGCCTATTGTCCTCATCTTTGTCGCCATATTTATTACAACGTTTCAGTCGTTTGTACGCTCCGGCCTTCTTCAGTTGGTTGGACCCTTTATTTCCCTCACTGGGGTAGACTGTTCTAGTTCCACGTGCCATGTTTAATGGATGTCAGTTATCAGTTATCTCCTGTTAATTTCCCTTTGAAAGTTCTGCTAGTGGATAAAGGTGTTATTTAGATCCAGTGACAGGACCCAAAGAGTGTGAGTTCAATACCCGGTTAAGGAAGTGGAGAACTTGGAGTCAGTCCATCAGTCAGCAATTGGCCAACATTTGCTGGACAATGATGCTTGTGCCGCTGAGTACGAAGACGCGTGGTTTTCGGTTTTACAGAGCGCTCGATCAATACACCATCTTAGAGTTTCTGAAGCCGTTTATATTCAATGTCAGCAACCCAGTCTCTGCAGACAGAAGGAACATTTTTACGTTCCTTACGTCTGTTGGAGGGTCTTGCCCTTTTTTCTATTTTATATACTCTTGTGGAACTATTTATGTACACCCCTCTCGTTCAATTTTAATTTATATAATTAAAATTTGTCTTTTAATCGAGTTCCACCTTTCCCTCCTCATTCGAGTTATTAAGTTGTCTTTGTATTCATTTATATCTAATATTGCCAACGAATATCTTTGACAAAGCGTTGGCCGAAAGGTGCCTTAGATATGACGTCCACTTTAATTAAAGCTATATATATATATATATATATATATATATATAGTAAAGAGAGGTTGGTACAAGTTACTATTGAAGTCTTTTTTGAACAGTCAGATGTTAGTTTATCTGGAAAGAAACAATTAATAAGAAGAGTTAAAATGAACGCATGCAAGATTTCACAGCTTTGGCATTACCCCTTCATTGTCAGCCTATGAACTTTTCAGCCTACCCTCGTACATAGTGCTTCCATAAAATTATGATCAATTAAATAAGATTATTAAACAAATACGATTATCAAATAAATAGAGCTATTAAAAGATTTATGCAATAAATACGATTATTAAATACCATTATCAATTGCATAAGAAAAAAGAAAAATAAGATCATTTAACGATGATTATAAAACAATAAGAATATTAAAATAGGATTATCAAATACCTAGAGCTATTAATAAAAATTCATTTATCAAAGAAATACGATTATTAAATTATACGATTATCAAATAAGTATAGTCACATTACGATTATCAAATAAATATAGTTATATTACGATTATCAAATAAATAAAATTAAAAAAATAAGGTTTTTGTAATATATTTGTTTATTAAAATAAGATTATCCAATATATTTGTTTATTAAAATAAGATTATCAAATAATACATACGACTATTTATAGAGGATTATCAAATAAATACGATTTTAAAAATATAATAATCAAAATAGACGGTTAATATCTGTCTATATTACTGATTATTGTAACTATATAGACTATTTACATTGTCCCCATCTTTGTTATTACATACATGACGTTTCAGCCGGATTCGTAGAGGTTTCCAACCGCTATAATTCGACATGAAATGACTGCATTATTTCAATACTGTCCTCTGTGTTAATTGTAATGCTTTTGTTTGCATGGGTTTAGTCCTCGCCCGGATTTCCAGTTTTTCGAGCGTCTTCAGACGGTTATTACGGGATCATCTTCATATTATACCAGCTTCTTTTCAGTTTTCTAGAAATATTCAAATATTGGCAAACTTGGACGTTCGTCCCCGAAAAAAAAAGGACTGTTCTTCTCTTGACACCAGTTTTATTTTAAATTATCTTCACTCCTTGTTAATGTTTGTTGTTTTACAAAGCGATGATTAGAATTTCAGTAAAAACTAAAAAAAAAAAAAATAATGATAAAAGTGATTTTATACTTTTTTTTTCTTGGGATTTGACAACAAAAATGATAAACTCTATTTATTTATTGGGTTGTTTAGTTACTCTATTTATTTATTACAGTAGAATCCCTCATATCCGGAATCCTTCATATCCGGAGTGCCTCATATCTGATGTGCCTCATATCCGGAGTGCCTCATATCCAGAATCCCTCATATCTGGAGTGCCTGTCATATGCCCTAGTCGACGAATGGGTTTATAAGGCGATCATACACCGACCAGAAGATATATACATTCTCACACCTGTGGAGAGATACAGGCTATCTCTCCCAGATCGTGACAATGGACAAAAAATAGTTTTAGAACACTGTTTGATTAGAATAATCGAACAGTAATCTTTTCCCAGATTCACTTTGGTTTCAACACGAATACTGATTCACACTTCAAGGATAAAGCTTAGCGAATTTGGATACAAGAATTTTAATATATACAGATATACAAAATATTAAAATAAAAGAAAATATAAGTATGAGTAAAAATATCCGACGACCAGATCTCAAGATTTACGTTGGGATATCAAAATTTGCCTAACTCCAAATGGATTCCACTGAACCCGACCGAACAAAAATATAAGTATGAATTACTACGAATGCAGAAATCAAGGCATACACAAAAGAGATGGGATAGGAGTTACAATTATTATTTTGACATGTGGAAAGGTGTTTGTAAGAACATAATATTTATGGATGTATGTGTATCTTTCTAATACGGGTCTAAAATATATGATTACTTATCTTTTATATATTCAGTTCTCTCTTTTTATCATTGTCCTTTCTTTTCTTTTCTTGACACAAATACGATTTCACACACTGTCCGGCTGTAACAGAGATATACACTTTCTTCCTCTCTCTGTTTTTCCTTTCCTTCTTTCTTTTTCTGTATACAGTTCAGTTTCCGAACCTGATTCACTGCAACAGGGATATACACTTTCTTCCTCTCTTTGGTTTTCTTCTTCTTTTCTTCTTCTTTACACAATTCAACTTGTAACAGAGATATACACTTTCTTCCTCTCTCTGGTTTTCTTTTTTCTTTCTTTCTTCTTCTTTACACAATTCAACTTATAACAGAGATAAATACTTTCTTCCTCTCTGGTTTTCTCTTTTCTTCAAACGCAGGCTGTATTCTCAGCGTACAAATTTCTCTGCGTCTTCAATTTGGGGTTATCGAACAGAAATACTTGCTCCTATATTTCTTGTCCGGAGTTGCCTGGGATGAATCGGACAAGTTCCATCATTATCTATTATTATGAGTCTTATCTTTCCGTTCATAAATTATCAGCGCTTCGATTTCGAGTCTTGCTCCTTCAAAGACAAGACAGCAACTGACTCCCAAGTAAATTTCTGACTCTCACGTGTCTTAAGTTTTGGCGCGAATTCCAGCTTACATCAGTCCCCTGTCTAGCTTCTGTCTAGACATTTATTGCTACGGTTAATTGGGTCAGTCAACCTCTTGACTTGCTTTCCCAAAATATCACAAGATTTCCACGTGACCCCCATTCTGTTGCTAGGCGGAAATTAACTTTAATATATGCGTGTATGCGTGTTTAGGCTATCTGCGTCCGTCACAGTGCCTCATATCCGGAGTGCCTCATATCCGGAATCCTTCATATCTGGAGTGCTTCATATCCGAAGTACCTCATATCCGGAATCCCGCATATCCAGAATACCTCATATTCGGAGTGCGCCATATCTGGAGTGCTTCATATCCGGAACCCCGCATATCCGGACATTTGATGTGTATATTTGAACTATTTGGTGATATGTAACTGATTTGAAATTTCTGTTTTACCGGAAATTTACTTTGGATAATTGCCTATGCTTATTTCACCCTAATGGCTTGTATTGGTGCAAAGGGTGATGGAAATAAGAGGAAAGGATGACAATGAGACAAATATGCAACAAGATAGCGACAAGATGCATAATTGTGATGAAACCTGGACTGAAATTGAAAAAATCTATTGAAAAGGTTGTCAGTTTTATGGAAAGAAAGACAGCATTTAACTAGGACGATTGCAATAACACGCGGAGTTAAAAGTGTCAAGAACAAAAGCAAAACGAAAATGCGAAAAAGTTGAGAATGACATTAGAAGAGAAAGAATCATCATGCAACAGCGATTAAAAAATCCTCGTTACATTATTTGTTTTGCATACGTGGCATACTTAATTTAAGGAATTTTCATTAACATTACATAATTTTATTTCTTTTTTCATTAAAATCAATTCAGTTATATTTCACTCGCCATTAGCTTATTTTGTTTACTGTAAAACACTGAAAATAAATGTTAAACCTGATTTCAGTTCTTTTATTTTAATCTAATTATAACCCCTCATATCCGGACTTTGTAACAAATTCCTCATATCCGGAATCCCTCATATCCGGACTTTGTAACCAATTACTCATATCCGGAATCCCTCATATCCGGAATCCCTCATATCCGGACTTTGTAACCAATTCCTCATAGTCCGGTTGTCATTGATTCTACTATATAGTATTTATTGGAATGGTTGGCAAAACAGATGATAATTGATTCAAACTTTATAAGATGGTAAATAATATCAATTGCTTTACAGTAGGTTTACATAGTTAATATTTTAGTAAATGTTTATAAATTTATGAATAAAATTCATTTTCATATTTATTTCTTTATAAATTGGTAAATAATAAATATTGCATTGCATTAGTTTTAATTGTATTAGTTTTTAGAACATTATTCTTGTAAATAAACAATCTAATAAATAAATAGTTTTTAATATTTTTGTTGTAAATTCTCAAGAACAAAAAATCTGAAAAAATTCACGTTCCCCATATGTCAAGGTTTTATTAGAATCCTAATTATCACTTTTCAAAACAATAACTATTGCTAAGGAGTGAAGATAGTTAAAATAATAGCGGTGTCAAGGGAAAAACTGTCTTTTTTGCGGGAGTGAACGTCCAAGTTTATCCAAAGATTTTGCAAGTTTTCCACATTTTAAAATTCATTCTTTTGTTTACGGGAACAACAATTTATATTATTTGATCTTTTTTGTTTTTGTTTATAATAACTACATCCAATTTCCATGCCTAGGATGGAAAATCCATTTCAGTGTTCAAGAGAATTTACAGTTTTCTATTCTATACGGGGTATGTGCGGTGTGATAGGTAACTGCTTGGAATGAGAAATCGGAGGGAAGAGTTCGAATTTACGCGCATGGATCTGTCTCTTTTTCCTTACCGCTATGGATGTAACAGTAGGGTAGACTGACTCCTATAACATTGGTTGGCAACCAGTTTATCGCAGAAAGAAATGCCAACCTCCTGACTGAGAGCCATCCGCCTAGTCACTCATAAATCGAAAGAGACATAATTACCCAACCATGTATCACGTATGGCACTTGACTGACTTGAATGCTTAAATCAATTTCCATTTCTATCTTGGTTTGCTTATTTTCCAATGGCTCACCATTCTTACCGATGTTTGCTCATTTCTCAATTGTCCACCGTTCCTACCGATGTTTGTTCGTTTCCCAGTTGCTCACCATTCCTACCGAGGTTTGCTCATTTCCCAATGGTCCACCAATCTTACCGATGATTGCTCATTTCCCAGTGGCTCACAATTCTTAACGATGTTTGCTCATATCCCAGTGGCCCACAATTCCTACCGAGGTTTACTCATTTACCAGTGGCTCATCGTTCCTAACGAGGTTAGTTCATTTCCAAGTGGCTCACAATTTCTACCGAAGTTTGCTCATTTCTTAGTGGCTCAACGTTCTTGAGTTTTGATCAGTTCCTAGTGGCATACCATTTCTACCGAGGTTTGCTTATTTCCCAGTGGCTCACCATTCCTACCGAGGTTTGCTCATTTCCCAGTGGCTCACCATTCCCACCGAGGTTTGCTTATTTCCCAGTGGCTCACCAATCCTACCGAGGTTTGCTTATTTCCCAGTAGCTCCCCATTCCCACCGAGGTTTCCTTATTTCCCAGTGGCTCACCATTCCCACCGAGGTTTGCTTATTTCCCATTGGCTCACCATTCCCACCGATGTTTGCTCATTTCCCAGTGGCTCACCAATCCTACCGAGGTTTGCTCATTTCGCAGTGGCTCACCATTCCTACCGAGGTTTGCTCATTTCCCAGTGGCTTACCATTCCTACCGAGGTTTGCTTATTTCCCAGTGGCTCACCATTCCTACCGATGTTTGCTCATTTCCCAGTGGCTCACCAATCCTACCGAGGTTTGCTAATTTCCCAGTGGCTCACCATTCCTACCGAGGTTTGCTCATTTCCCAGTGGCTTACCATTCCTACCGAGGTTTGCTCATTTCCCAGTGGCTCACCAATCCTACCGAGGTTTGCTTATTTCCCAGTGGCTCACCATTCCTACCGATGTTTGCTCATTTCCCAGTGGCTCACCAATCCTACCAAGGTTTGCTCATTTCCCAGTGGCTCACCATTCCTACCGAGGTTTGCTAATTTCCCAGTGGCTTAACATTCCTACCGAGGTTTGCTCATTTCCCAGTGGCTCACTAATCCTACCGAGGTTTGTTTATTTCCCAGTGGCTCACCAATCCTACCGAGGTTTGCTCATTTCCCAGTGGCTCACCAATCCTACCGAGGTTTGCTCATTTCCCAGTGGCTCCCCATTCCCGCCTAGGTTTGCTTATTTCCCAGTGGCTCCCCATTCCTACCGAGGTTTGCTCATTTCCCAGTGGCTCACCAATCCTACCGAGGTTTGCTTATTTCCCAGTGGCTCCCCATTCCCGCCGAGGTTTGCTTATTTCCCAGTGGTTCCCCATTCCCACCGAGGTTTGCTTATTTCCCAGTGGCTCACCATTCCTACCGATGTTTGCTCATTTCCCAGTGGCTCACCATTCCTACCGAGGTTTGCTCATTTCCCAGTGGCTTCCCATTCCTACCGAGGTTTGCTCATTTCCCAGTGGCTCACCAATCCTACCGAGGTTTGCTTATTTTCCTGTGGCTCACCAATCCTACCGAGGTTTGCTCATTTCACAGTGGCTCACCATTCCTACCGAGGTTTGTTTATTTCCCAGTGGCTCCCCATTTCCACCGAGGTTTACTTATTTCCCAGTGGCTCCCCATTCCCACCGAGGTTTGCTCATTTCCCAGTGGCTCACAATTCCTACCGAGGTTTGCTCATTTCCCAGTGGCTCACCAATCCTACCGAGGTTTGCTCATTTCCCAGTGGCTCCCCATTCCCATCGAGGTTTGCTTATTTCCCAGTGGCTCACCATTCCCACCGAGGTTTGCTTATTTCCCAGTGGCTCACCATTCCTACCGATGTTTGCTCATTTCCCAGTGGCTCACCATTCCTACCGAGGTTTGCTCATTTCCCAGTGGCTCACCATTCCTACCGAGGTTTGCTTATTTCCCAGTAGCTCCCCATTCCCACCGAGGTTTACTTATTTCCCAGTGGCTCCCCATTCCTATCGATGTTTGCTCATTTCCCAGTGGCTCACCATTCCTACCGAGGTTTGCTCATATACCAGTGGCTCCCCATTCCCACCGAGGTTTGCTTATTTCCCAGTGGCTCACCATTCCCACCGAGGTTTGCTTATTTCCCAGTGGCTCACTATTCCTACCGATGTTTTCTCATTTCCCAGTGGCTCACCAATCCTACCGAGGTTTGCTAATTTCCCAGTGGCTCACCATTCCTATCGAGGTTTGCTCATTTCCCAGTGGCTTACCATTCCTACCGAGGTTTGCTCATTTCCCAGTGGCTCACCAATCCTACCGAGGTTTGCTTATTTCCCAGTGGCTCACCAATCCTACCAAGGTTTGCTTATTTCCCAGTGGCTCACCATTCTACCGAGGTTTGCTCATTTCCCAGTGGCTCACCATTCCTACCGAGGTTTGCTCATTTCCCAGTGGCTCCCCATTCCCACCGAGGTTTGCTTATTTCCCAGTGGCTCATCATTCCCACCGAGGTTTGCTTATTTCCCAGTGGCTCACTATTCCTACCGATGTTTTCTCATTTCCCAGTGGCTCACCAACCCTACCGAGGTTTGCTCATTTCCCAGTGGCTCACCAATCCTACTGAGGTTTGCTTATTTCCCAGTGGCTCACCATTCCTACCGATGTTTGCTCATTTCCCAGTGGCTCACCAATCCTACCGAGGTTTTCTCATTTCCCAGTGGCTCACCATTCCTACCGAGGTTTGCTCATTTCCCAGTGGCTCACTATTCCCACCGAGGTTTTCTCATTTCCCAGTGGCTCACCATTCCTTCCACGGTTTCCAAATTTCCCTTTGAAGATTAAACGTTTTCTCTTAAAAAGATTAAAGATTAAAATTTCCCTTTACTGATCCAATAAACACATAGAAAATCTTGTAATGTTTAGTGATTACCGAGTATGGTGGCCCTTTCAATAAGGTTATCGGCTTTGGGGATCAGGCTGTCACCAGACCTGAAGTGGAATATATATATATGATCCATTGCTAAAAATATTGAAAAAATGATCGATTTCTTGTACCACCTCCAAAAGTATCTGGCTCTTCCTGTCAAGTGTTAAATCAGATCAAAACTGGATTATTGGTGTCATATCTGCGCTGGAGTAGTGTAATCCTCACTTTCCAGACGTGACAGAGTTCAAGATCGTTCATGCATCCTTGTCGGGGATGACTTATTTTCAAATCTACATCCTCTTTCCCCAGAGACGCAAAATCGTAAGGCGATAGTAACTCTTTTTCTATTTCCATGACATTTTATTCTTTACCGTAGAAACGTTTCAGGGCATTCTTATTTACAAAATTGTACTTCACGTTTTCCATCCTGTCGGATTCTCAGTCAAACTCTCTTAATCTCTCCCCACTCACTCTCTCTCTCTCTTTCTCTCTCTCTCGCACACACACACAGACACACACACAAACACACATACTCATTGACTTCTCTCACAAAAACACACTGACTCACTACCTCTGCCTCTCTGACACTCACACATGCACACTCATTGACCCACTCTTTCACATATACTCATTAACCTTCTCTCTCTCTCTCTCTCTCTCTCACACACACATATCCATTCTCTCCGTCTCGGGTTTAGTTTGGTTTACGGCATATCATCCTTAATGGGTTATTTAATGCCGACAAGATTTTTATTGCTGTTAATATTTTTTTTTATCTATCTATCTATCTATTGATTTGTTTTGTTTTGTTTTAAGGCATATCAACCTCAATGGCTTATTAATGCCGACGAGATTTTTTATTGCTGGTTATATTTTCTATCTATCTATCTATCTATCTATCTATCTATCTATCTATCTATCTATCTATCTATCTTAGTCTCCTCATATCTATCTATCTATCTATCTATCTATCTATCTATCTATCGATTTGTTTTGTTTTGTTTTACGGCATATCAACCTCAATGGGTTATTTAATGCCGACAAGATTTTTTATTGCAGCTAATATTTTTTTCTTCAAAAATATATTGCTGGTATGAAAATGCATTTTTACACTTTTATAGTGTTTTGACTCCAGTTTGGCGATGGGAGGTAACAGTTTTCCTATAGCTCGGTCCCTAACAGGTGGTACCACGCCGGGTCAGGATGAATCTGAGAACACCAGCAATTAAGAAGTGGTTACACGCTCCTCAAAACCTCCTGATCAGAGGCCTTACTGTTGGACGTAGTTTGTCGTCTTACCCAGGACGTCTTTGTCTCTGTCTCTCTCACACACCTACACGTTTGGATAAATAGATTTTACTGATTATTGTGGCCACGTATCTTAATACCATTGAGAAAAGCATGAAACCACATTTCTGTACACTGACCTATTGCTCTTCAGCTAATTTTGCATATGTTCATATACGTTATTACCATTGCGAATGGCTCAAACCCACATCCTTGTACACCGACCTATTACCCCTCAGATGAGGTTGCCTACATTCACGTATCTTAATGCCATTGGGAAAAGCAGGAATCCATAAGCCTGAGGCTGCCTATGTACACTGAGGCTTAATGACCTTGGGAAAGGCATGAATCCAAAACCCCGCATTCTATTCTATTGCCAATCGTCTATTCCAATTACCAGTCGTTTGATGCTGCCTCAGTTCATTTAACCTTAATTAGCAAAAGGAATGAATCCACATCTCTGTATTCTGCTTGTTGTGTAGATAGACGATCGACCTTCTTTACACTATTTTTGTGTGGGTCGCAAAGCATAGCGTTGAGTCGTACGCATTGCCCCACTGAACTACGATTTTCGCTATTATTGTCTTAGTAATCCATGTTCTCCACTGGATTAAATCTTTTTTTTTCACTAATCTTTGGTTCAGGTGTCTTCTTTAGAATATTATTAACTCGAAACTATTAGCTTATCCGAACATTATAGAACTGTTCTATTGCCAGATGTACCCTTAGGAAAATCATGAAACCACATTCCGGAACCTGGCCACAATGTCCAGTCGATAGTGTGTGTCTATGTTTACTTAGCATTAATAACCCGGGGTAAAAACATGAATCCACACCCCTCTGCTCTGCCACTTTGCTGGTCGGTAGAGGCTATGTTAACTACACTGCTGCTATTGCTGAGGGAATTGATTCGCCGTCCTGAACTTTGTCCATTGCCAGTCGGCTGAAGCTGCTTATGTGCACTCTGCACTAATGCCCTCGGTAAAGGCATGAATCGCTATCTCCACAGTATCTCTCATAGCCGATTTTACTCCTCATAAAATATTCCTGAGAATTCGCACACAATTCAATAATTGCATCTAACACGTCTAGAAACGGGGAAAAATGTGAAGATATTTACTTGAGAAAGCGCATTAAAAGGCAAGCGATTTCTACAAAACTGATTAGTTTAATTGAATTCGGGGCAAAGAAAGTAAACACCAAAGATAATGGCATGTGCATTCGTCAGAAGAATAAACGTCCCAAAACGAATTAAACATCACAATCTGATAACATTTCGAAAAGGTTGACATCTGCTAAGAAAATTGTTTCTGTGCAAAAAAAAAAAAATAAAAATAAAAAAAAAATAAAGAAAAAAAAGCAAAAAAAGAAAGAAAAGAAAAAGAATATTAGTTGAGGTACTCGATGTTACCCGGGTTTCAAAATATTCAAAATTAAAACAATCACTAGTGTTCACGATACTTTGTTTCAATCTTGACAATGTGCATGTGATTGAGATTTTGCTGAGATCTTCATGAGGTCTTTTTCTGTTTTAATTCATTCAGGGCTCCTTGCCTTTAACGTGTAAAAGGGTTAAAGTTAACTGCAGACTTCAACGGAATCGCTGAATTTATATAATAAATTAAAATAATAATAATAATAATAACCGATGGCAAGATAAACCGCATCACGTTCAATATTCAGCCCGTACCAAACAAGGTGATGTAAAAACATGAAAGCTTCTCGCCTAGCACCGCATGCATCATCCCAAGTCCGTATGTAGCCAGATCCGAAGGAGGCAGAGGATTAGTTCAACTAGAACTGTCTTACAAAACTACAATAATCGGCCCTCGAAAATACCTAGAAACTACAGGAGATTGGATGATAATCTGTGTCAAAGAACATGACAGTAGTAAGCGACTTTATTCAGTAGTAAAGGAAGCCAACAATTTCAAAATGGAGTTTTACGTGGGTGAAGAAATACAAGTACAGCATAATACTCCGAATGAAGCTGAAAAATACTTAAAAAAGAAAGCAAAGGCTAATGCAACCGACCAGATACAGAAGCGATAGCAAGATAAACGGCTTCACGGGCAATACTCTGTTCGTACCAAACAAGCTGATGTATGTAGACGAACAGCGTAACCATCATTATCTACGTAGTGCAGGGTTAAAAGCTGAAACTAAAGGTTTTATTCTTGCTGCAAGGGACCAATGCTTGCTAACTAGAAATTACGAAGCACATAAACTTAAAAATTATGTTAACCCAAAATGCAGATTATGTGATTTCTAGACGCGAGTGACTATCTTCTATCAGATTGCACGTTAATACCACCCACTGAATATAAAACACGGCACGACACAATTTGGTGTGGAAAATCTGCAACACTTACAGAAAAGAAAATTGCAAGAGATTGGTATGAACACCACCTAGACCCGGTTACGGAGACAGGGCCCGTAATAATTTTATGGGACTTTACAAAACACACAGAGAGAACAATCAAAGCTAATCGCCCTGACATCGGGATTAGGGACCGCAAAGACAACATTATTGACATAGCAGTCCCTGCAGACTGCAGTGTATCTTTGAAAATCATCAAAAAACTATCAGAATACAAGTACATTGAAATCAAAATCTAAAAAATGTGAAAGATGAGGACATTAACAATTCCAGTTGTAGTTGGAGCCCTCGGATTGATTGGAAACGATTTCAATAGACTCATTGAAGGAATCCTTGATAGCCCATGCCTTGAAGAAATGCAAAAATTGTACTTACAAGAACAGCCTTTTGGGGCTTTGTGTATGTAAATTATGTGATTTTGTTTTCAAAAGTGCTCATAATGTCATGATGCCAATTCTGATCTTAGGTCTCTGGTCAGGATCCGTAAAGAAATGTGTATAAACTGGAAACCAAAGGAAATAAAACAATAATAATAATAATAAAATGAGAATGTATAGTAAGTGCTTTAATCACCAGACCATCCACAGTAAATTTACGACCAGGTTCTTACATTTCATCTCTCATGGCAGATGTTCTGTTATCACATGCGGGATATTTGGTGACAAAATTGCCAACGACATAAACAAAACTAAACTAAATGAAATCTGACAGGTTATATGCTTCAAAAAACACCTTAAAAATATTAAATTTCAGCGTTTCCTCTCTTTCATGTGAATATGCAATCGCATCAACATAAACATGACGATGAAGAGCAAAAGGAAGAAAAATGCTCAGGCATAGATTTTACAAATATATATATATATATATATATATATATATATATATAAAGATATAGATATATATATATATATTCTCAAAAGTGCCGTTATGGAAATACGATCATTCAGTTTATTAGCGATGTTTTTAATGGATTAATATTAAAAAAGTACTCGAGAAAAATAATATAAAATAAAAATTAACACCACCACTCCATATATATATATATATATATATATATATATATATATATATATATATAATTGGACACTGATGTTAACGCCAAAGAGTGACAGCCTGTTTCATGCTTCAAAGGCAATCTTCAGGCGACTTGACATTGATATATATATATCAATGTCAATTATATATATATAGTAATCCGTTGATATAATCAATGCGAGTCCTATTAACACAACATAGAATCTGAAATATGTTAAAACTGATTCTTAAAAGAGTAAATTTTCTTTACAATTGGAATTAATATACCTTTAGTTAATGACCATTTTCACCTCCGAATTTTTAAAATTCGTAGATAAAAAATGGTCAAAAATAAAATTATCTTATATATATATATATATATATATATATATATATATATATATATATATATATATATATATATATATATATATATATATATATATATATATATATATATATATATATATATATATATATATATATATATATATATATATATATTATGGGCATGTGGTTGAGTGGTTAGAACGTTCGTTTTCTGACCATGAGACCCGGGTTCGAATCTCACCATGGTCGATTTTTCATGAAGGAATGGATCGAGGTCGATCCCAGCAAGCGGCACTTTGGAAAGTTAATCCAAGCCTTGTGAGTGAATTTGAGTAGACAGAACTTTTAAGGGCCGTCGATCGCTGTGTTAGCTCGAAGTTACAAGTCATCGTGTTCAAATTGTTGATCACGCAAGATAACACGCTCCCTCCCAGAAATATATATCAAAGTAAAATGTAAACTATATAATGTAAACCATATATATATATATATATATATATATATATATATATATCAGATATGTGGTGCAGTTCAATTTATATTACAATGAATCATTCATGCAGAAAGTAGATGAGTAAAGTTAATGATCTAAAATGGCGAAATCCTTTCGCAAACAAAGTTTTAAAAGTGCATTGTCAACATTAACGATTAATGTTATGATCCTTGTTTTTAAAATAATTTCCATTCCTGATGATGACTGAATTTACAGTCGAAAGTACTTGCGTATTAAAGAAAGACCTTATACTGTTTATAATTTTTAAAAACATGGATCATAACATTCATCGAGAGATTTGTACGTTAATGCACCTTTAACATGTTGTTTGCGAAATGATTTCGTCATTTTATATAATTAACTTTATTAATCTACATTTTTGTATGAATTAATCATTGTAATATATATATATATATATATATATATATATATATATATATATATATATATATATATATAAACAGGTAAAAATCCGTAGGTAAGTAATCCAAGTGAATCCTAATATATAAAATATTGCAACTGATCCACAAATAGAGCTCAAAGTATTTATTACAGAGCATATACAAAATAAATTACAAATAAATGAAATTCACAAATATCCCATCTGAATGGCTATTTCGCACCTCAGGAGCTTGACAACATTAAAAATTTAGATAAAATAATAAATTTTTAGATGAGGTATTTGTGAATTTGATATATTTGTAAATTACACACACACACACACACACACACACACACACACACACACACACATATATATATATATATATATATATATATATATATACTTGTTATTGGTCAGAGTTAAATTAGACCAGGAAACAGTCGCATTAAACAGTGAGCAA